AGCTTGCAGCCCTTTCTCTCTCTACTAGACGCAACTCACAACCTTCTCTCTCTACTGGACGCAGCTCACATCATTCTATCTCTACTGGATGCAGGTCGCAGCCCTCTCTCTCTCTATTGGACGTAGCTCGCAGCCCTCTCTCTCTATACTAGATGCAGCTCGCAACCCTCTCTCTCCCTAATCACTCTCTTTCTGAATTGGGGTTTTTTCAATTGATTCAACAGAAAGAAGAACCGGGATTTCACAGCAATTGCAACTTCTACTAAGACAACATATGGATATGAAAATTGGGGTTCTTATATTTGATTCATGTTTTTTTATTCCATTCTAAGAATTGGAGTCGATTTATTTTGTGCTGTTATCATGTAAAATTGAAATTGAAACGGAAGATGTAGAGTTTCCATTGCTGTGTATTGATGAAGCACATGCTAAAAACCCATTGGTTGTTGTTGAGTATGTTGAGGATATATACAGTTTCTATCGCATAACATAGGTCTCTCTCTCTTGAAGCTCTCTCATTGCCCCCAAATCCAGATCTCTCTCTCTGCCCCGAAATCCATCTGGTTTTGAAGAGAGAGGAACTAGAGTCTATGGACAGTCTGAAAAATTCTACAAAGAACTCTCCCCTATTTGTTAATTCAAAATCTGTTAGTCTAAAATTTCCCAAACAAATGTTGTCAATTCAATGATCACCACCATTGTTTTGGGCAAGCTCGGATACAGTATTGAGAGACAGAGAGAGAGAGCGAGAGATAGAGAGAGAGGGGGATTTGGGATGCAGGCATCACCATTTGAAAAGGTAGGACTTATACCTACTGTTGGGCGCACGACTTATCCCTATGCGAACGGTTGTTTAGGAGCATTATATATATATAAGAAAATACTACAAAACGCCTATAGGCGAAAATGAACAGTGATTTCGTCTACTCGTATCATCATCCAAACTTCATCGCATAATCATAGTTGTCAAGTAGTGTTTCATTTTTTATTTTTTATTTTTACTAATCGGAATGATCTGAAATTTGGATCGTGTGTGTATCTTAGTGAGGCGTACCTAATAAAAATATGAAAAAATAACTCGTAAAATATAAA